CGGCCCCTGGGCTCGGCCCCCCTCCCCACTCCCCGCCGCCGAGGTGGGTTTTCAAACCCCAGCTCGGACCCCGAACTGGGGCCCGGGGGGGGAAGGAGCGCGTCCCGCGCTGGGCTGCAGAGCCCCTCCCAATCGGGACCCCATCGGGACCCCCACCCCTTCTCCATCCCTTGCAAAGACAGACACAGAGGCACGGCTGTAAACTGAGAGCTGGTAGGGGGCTGGTAGGGGGTCCGAGCACAGCACGCCCTCCGCCACCTTCCCCCTCCTCCCCCGGGGAGACGAGAGGCACCAGGGATGCTTCATCACTCTTGGACATCCATATGTCCCGCTAGTCCCCAAATACCCACCCACCTGCTGCTGCTGCTGCTAGGAGAAATGCATTTAAAGGAGGGGAAAAAACACCTAAAAATATCTACCTCAGGCCTGATCTGCTCGGGGCACCCTCAGCGCCATGGCACAGCAGCGACAGCAGCGAGCTGCTTTGCTTTGGTCCCCATCAGTGACTTTTCCCTTATCCCCATATCCTCAGATTTGGTCCTCTCTGAGCTGTCCTGTTGCAGGGGCAGGGGCTGCGGGGGTGCCATGGTGATGCTGAAGGTGACGAGGGGTTTCCCCACAGGAAGAGGCCCCCCAAGGACGAGCAGTCTGTGGTGGGGTTACCCTTTCAGGCCTGGGGCACTGAGCCAGCCAGCTGCCCTGTAAAACTCCAGTGAGCTGTTTGTCCACTCAGTTATGTTACGAAATTTCTATTAGCCGAGAGGAGTTTGGTGTTCCCAGCTGGTCTCACCCATTGTTCCTGGTCCTTGAACGGGTTCTTGGGATGGATCAAGGATATTTATCCTGAAGAAGGAAAGTGGAACATGAAATAAGTGGTGGGTTGTACTGGTGTCTGAAGGAGAGCCGCAGCTGGGATGCAAGCCTTCTCCTGGGTGCCCGGTGTCCCTATTCCTCAATCCCCAAGTTGGAGGAAACTTATGGCCCTGTGGTCCAAGGACAAACCCATGCTCCTGGACTAAAGCACTTTGCTCACAGAGGCAGCAAGTAATTTCCTTTGGAATCTTTGCCTATAATGAAGAGTTATTGTCCCTTCCTGGTCCTGCAACTTCATTTTGGCCTTGTGGAAAGCAATTGCTATCCCCACAAGCAAGATACCCATCTGCTGGTCTAATTTTACAGTGTGGATGTGCATGTTTATATCAATCGCTGTCTCTAGACATGCTCTGTTTTGGATTCTGTTGCCTCATGTTTCTGCACAGAGGCGATGCACAAGCACGGCTGCTAACGAGGAGAGTATTGCATCTCCCTGCTCTGTCCCAGCAGCTGTTCCCGAGTGCTCCATGTGCTGCCTCCTCCGCTTTCCCTCCACGCTAAGTACTGGCAGGGAATATCAAGAAATATAGTTAAAAAATAATTCTAATTACACGCTGAAATACCAGCTACCTGGAATCAATGTGGCTGTTGATTTACAATCAACACTTTTAACAGGCTGGTGCAGTTTGTACCAGCCAAATCTCTCCTTTTGTAGAAGTACATCAGGAGAGTACTGACCTCCCAACAAACAGGCTGGGTGCTCCCATCACTAAAGGCCTCAGCAGCATATTTCTATGAGCTAATTAGTTTAATAAATTCCATTAATAACTTGGCAAGTTTGTCTCAGCCACACGTGAAGCATTCTCACTAGCATGGGTAGATAGCTCTGCCCTGTTCTTTTTCCCATAGATCTGGGTTTGAGCAAAGAGCTTGTCTTCTGGGATGCAGCCTTGCCATTCCCCATGCAGAAGTGCGGGTCATTTCTTGTAAAGAAGAAAGTAAAAGAAAGTCTTCTCTCTCTCCATAAGGAAAGGGGTCAACCTCTCCCCTCTCTTTTTAGAAAGCTTTTTGTCCGGGCAGGTTCTACTTTCTGTCCTCACATCGCTTTTACAGAGCTGGACACCTACTGCTGGTCCAGAGCTGACCCCCTGCCAACCCTGGCCTCGGAGCAGGCAGAGGTTCAGCCCTGCCAAAGGAAGACATCAACCCCATTCCTGCCTCGCCAGGTAGCGCATCTATCCAGCACCCCTTTATTCTCCCCACTGCTAGTGCGTGGCCTGGGGGATGTGTGAAGTCCCTTTCGTGGCGTGGGATAATGAAATGAATGACAAAAGTATCTCTTCTTGCCTGCACTTCTGCTCCCTGCAAGGTTTTAATCCGTATTCCCCTTCAAGCAAAAGCAGAGCTGGAGATGCACCACTCTCTTCTTGTGTGCCAAAGCCTCCAACCTAAATCCCTGCTGTTTGTTTCTGAACTAGCCGACCTTTTAGCTAAGCTGGGCTCGTTTTAATATATTTTGTATGTGTGTGTCTGTGGCTTAAAAAGGAAAAGAGTCATGGAAACCAAGAGAAGCCTGATCTCAAATGTTACAGCAAGGCATTTACTTAAAATCTTGCAGGAAAATGTCACCCAGAGTCCTCATCTATTAAAACTGCCTGGACTTTGAGCTGAGGGTCCCACAGTGCCCAAGATGTGAGGCCCACAGGTTGCCTCACTCCCTTTTATGTTGACCCAAGTGTTTTTCATCTTTGCTTTTTCCAGTTGCTGTTGGGGACCACTAGGAATGTTTCATATTAATCCTATTCCTGTCTGATTTCGCCAGGTGGGATTTTTCTGAAGGGCATGGAAAGCAGGCGAGAGAAACCTCTGGAAGAGGCGGGTGCTAAGAGACAGCATCAACGTTTTTCCCACTGATGTCCGAGCACCCACCCCAAATACCTGTTAGAGCAGGTTCCGGAGTCAGGTCACGCTGGGCTGATTCAAGCCTTTAAAATCAGTTCCCAGTGGACTCACTACAGACAGGCTCTCCCTAAAAGTCAGGAGTGTCTAAGGTGGGTTAGGAAGGCAAAATCCTGGGGTGTTACAGGGTTTTTTTAAGGATGCTGTGCTTGAAAAACAAGGAAGTGAGGGAGAAAGGGGTGATAAAAAAAGGGACATATATCAGCTTTGTTGATGACAATATTGACTGTATCATTACTTACAGGCATGGAAGTGCATCCCTTCCTACACTCAACATATTGCAAAATAAAGTATTGCTAGTTTGGATGAGCAATAAAAGATTCCCAACGGCTGCACGTTATTTACTGCCTTTGGCTGAACTGATTTCAGGAGAGTATTTTAAATCAGAACAGTTGATACACGGGATATTTATTGCCTTTGATATTCATAGCAGAGGAACCTGCTGAGACTCCGCAGTGTGAGCACGTTGGTGTGTGCGTTGGCAAAGCAGACAGACCATGCCCAGAGCAGAGCAATGATCACACACCCCAGCATTTGTGTCCCTGGACGGGTTTAAAAAAAAAAAAGGCAACCCAAAAAGCAGAACACACCGGGATGTGTATGATGATATTGGTAAGATAATTACCCTGAAGAAGGATCAATCTCTGGCAAGGAGGAGCTGGGAAAGGAGGGGTCAAGACACCTTTTACAGGTCCTATCTTCTGTGTGCTGCATGTTCAAATTCAGTCCTTTACTTTGGCAAAACTCCTTTAAAGTTAACGGATGTACTGGCTGATAGACCCTGTAATATTTGTCTCAAAGAGACAGAGACTGGTACATTAACTGGACGCACACAGGAGATATCAACTGCTTTCGTTTAGAGATAAAAGTAGTTTTTGGGTCCCCCGAGTTGTTACTGCAACAAGCCCAGATCAGATTCCTCATGGCATTAAAGACGCTTTTGTCTTCGTATATGCAAAGTAAGTGTTCAAGCCATAGGCATTCGTGCTCACACTGCACACAGGGTTTCCCTTTGGAAATCCTTTGTTTTATTCCAGGAACAAATATAAAGAGAAGGGACAGAGGAGTCCAAAAGGAGAGCTTGCACTTGCTGTAGCTGGGAGCCTCCATGCAGCCCCAAGCGCAGTGCTGGCACCCTCAGTGCACATGCACACGGACAGTTACTCTATTTCTAAAGGATTTAATCTGCTTTTGCAGCCCTGGCTCTCTGGAGCCTTGGCGGCTCTGCCAGCGTCGCTTCCAACAGCTCCGCTCAGCGGTGCCGGCTCGGAGCACAGCCCTTGCTGCTGGGGAATGCTCCAGCTCCAGCTCCCAGCTCAGCACCGTCCCTTCCCCCTGCACACTGCACCAACATTTTCCAGGAAATCTCAGGAGGCAGAGATTAACCTCATTTTCTCATACCCCCAACTAATTTCTGTTGTTTTTCTAAATTTCAGCATGCCTGGCAATTTTAAAATGCAAATGAAAAGCAGCACAGTAAAAATCCCTGGCAGCCAAACACTCTTTACTGCCTTTTCCCAGTGACCTTCCCATACATTTGAAATGCTCCCAAATCCTTATTAAATGCCTTGGATTTCAGGAAACACAAAGCACCAGGCATGCTTTGTGCTCTTTCCTAGTGTGAGTGTCTTTATTAAATGCTGGAAATACCGTGGGCTGGTAGGGCTTTCTCCTTGGCCACGTCACCAAACAACATGGCATTTGTTCAGACACTCCTCTCTGCCTTGGTCCCTTACACCCAGAAAGGCCCTTTCCTTACGCCGGGGAGACCAGGGCTGCAGGAGGCAGCAGGGTCAGCCCCAGAGAGGTTCCCAGTGGAAATTTTCCTGGGACACCCTACACTGGCTTCGAGTCACTCTGTGCTGCTTCAG